GGCGGCGGGGGGGGGCGGAGTCTGAGGAGGAGACGTCTGGAGACGTCACCCCCGGCAACGCCACGCCCCAGCAGGGCGCCGCCCCCCCCTCTCAGGCGGAGCCCGAGGTGGACCCCCCCGCCAAGGAGGCCCCCGGCGTGCCGGAGGACCCCCCCGAGGACCGGGAGGCCCCGCCCCCCCCACCGGCGGTGGTGGTGGCTCCGCCCACCCGGCTGGACAAACCCTACAACTGCCCCCAGTGTGGGAAGGCCTACGCCAGCCGGAGTGGACTCAAGGTAAGAGGCGGGGGTTTGAACTCATTGGCTGCCAAAGACGTCTATAGACGTCAATTCAAATACAACCGTCGACTGCCAAAGACGTCTATAGATGTCAATTGAAATACAACAGTTGGCCGCAAAAGACGTCTATAGACGTCAATTAAAATACAACCGTCAACCGGCAAAGACGTCTATAGACGTCAATTCAAATACAACCGTTGACCGCCAAAGACGTCTATAGACGTCAATTCAAATCCAACCATTGGCTGCCAAAGACGTCTATAGACGTCTTTTATGTTTTTCAACGAGAGTGTCTGGGGGACGATCTGCTAAAGCTTGTCTGTAAATATCAGGCTTCTAGACAGAGTATGTAGTAACAAATTGACCCTCTACGGGGCAGTGCCACTTTTGATGGGAGTTGAGCATAGACTGTAGGCAAATAAGAAAAAGGTAACGGTTGGCTATGAGAGAACATGTCGCCGGTGAGACGCAAGTCGAGGAAGTTCACACTCAACCAGAGTTTGTGTCGCAGTAGTTGGGTTGGTGTCCCGATCGTGGGAAAGGAAGGAGATCAACCCGGGCCCAGCAGAGAGAGTAGGCCTAACTCACGGCGTGTTTTAGAACTATTTACATAAATGTATTTGTGAATAAATTATTTTGTAATTTAAAACCATTTCTAGATGTTTTTGCCGTTTTATAGAAGGATACAACTTTTAAGATGTTTGAGGTTTCACTAAAGCCAAAAAATAGCATCATAGACAAAAAGCTTGTTTTCTCCATTTATTGTTCAAAAACTGGGGTATTTGTTGAAACCAACCAATGTTCTACTGCTGATTACTAAAGAACGGAATAAGGTAGAAACAATTTCTTTTTCTTGATGAAAGAAGAGAGAGTACTCTTTCTTTTGGTGTGTTCGGTGTTTACATAGTCATAGCACAAACTATTCTGTGGCTCTTGAAAAATCTGTCAAAATGCTAAAAAAAAAACTGTGGCAGTATGGGACTCTCTGTGCGGAAAATGGGTGGCGGTCGAGGAGTTAGGGGGGGGGGGGGCCGGTTTGGGGGGGGTCCGTGTTTGGAATGGTTTCCTGAGCTTGGCCTCTCTCTCCACAGGGGCACATGAAGACCCACCCGCCGACGGGTGACCCCCCGGAGGACCCCGGCCCCCACCGGAGCTCCAGACTGAGGGAGGAAAAGCCCCCGCCGGTCCCAGAGAAAGATGGCGGCCCCAGCCCCCCCCCACCAGTCGGGGGGGGCCCCGACACGGCGCCCGAGGCCGCGGACGCCACCGCCTAAGGGGGGGGG